ATCAGAGATGTCAAACCTGAGGGCCAGGGGCTGGATCCAGCCTGTGGGATGCTTAGATCTGGTCCACGGTGCTGCCATGGAAACAGCAAAGAACTGGCCCATGGTGCCTCTGCCAGCAAAAACAGAGCTGGGGAGGCTGCATGCATCCCCCATGCCCTGTTTTTGCCTTTGACAGCCTTTTTCAGCCCTCTGATAGCAAAAACGGAGCTGGGAAGGGACAGGGAAGGAGGAAGGGAAAGAGGAATGACAAAGAAAAAGATGTTTCCTTTTGCAACCTTCTCAGGAAGTTTTCAACTAACAAAGTCAATAGTGGAAGCCGTATTTGTTTAACGACCATGTGGTTCCCTTAATAACTGTGGCCAAAAGGGCCATAAAATCGGGTGCAATTCATTTAACAATTGCCTTACTTAGCAATGGGAATTCTGCTCTCAGCCGTGATCGTAAGTTGAGAGACTACTATAGTAGAAAAACATAACCTTCGAACAGTGGTGGGTTACGACCTGTATGCCCCGGTACAGGCGTACCGGTGCCCACCAGGAGCACCAGGTACCATTCCGGTATGATGCTCTGGAGGTCCTGCCTGCCCACCTACCGTCCTTACCTGTATTTGAGCTCTTCGGGGCTTACGCACATGCGCACGGAGCTTACAGCGCCTGCGCGATGCTCCACCAAGTGGCTGGAGTGTCGCGGAGGCATCACGAAGCGTTGCAGATGATAACTATGCATGCGCATGTTCATGTGGTGGACGCCGGGCCCCTTTGCACCGTACTGGTTGCACCGGGATCCGGAACCCACCACTGCCTTCGAAGTGAACTTTCTGCGCAAATAAAATGCATGTTACTTTGTTAAGCCAGGATGAGAAATTTGGTGAGTGGCTTTTTTCTCCCAACAGAATCCTAGTTTTCAAGGATTACCTCTTCAGCGGATCCTATGACAGGACTGCCCGCTGCTGGAGTGTGGATAAGGAAAAACCGATCCAGGAGTTTCGGGGCCACCGCAACTGCGTCCTGGCCCTGGCGCTCTACTCTTCGAAGGATGTCCTTGAGGAGGAAGAGATGGAGGAGGAGGTGGAAGAGGTGGAAGAGCTGAGCCAAGACTTCCTGGTGACGGGGAGCACAGACTGCACTGTCAAGGTCTGGTGGGTGTCCACTGGGCGCTGCCACCAGACCCTGCTGGGACACACTGGGGCTGTCTTATGCCTTATACTTGATGCTCCGAATAGGGAGCTCTTTTCGGGAAGCACTGATTACACCATCCGTACTTGGAACATTGTGACAGGGGAACAGTTGAGAGTCTTCAAAGAGCATCAAGGGTCCATCATTTGCCTTGAGGTAAGAGAGGCTGCATTTTTTCCAAAGGTGGAATTGAAGTTTGCAGTATTTGTGCAACTGATATTTTTTGGGGAGGGGAAAAAATGCAGGGCAGGAAGCTGGTTTGAAGAAGGAACAACAGAAGAGCTGGGCATACAGAGTTGGAAAAGGATTCTTAACAAAACAGCATCATCCTGTCTATATGTTTATCTATCTACTGCAGGGCTCAGCAGCCTGCAGCTCTGGAGCCGCATGTGGCTCTTTCATCCCTCTGCTGCGGCTCCTGGTCGCCAGTCAGCTCCACAATAGATAGGGCTTTCGGTTAGGACAGGTAGAGGAAAAAGGACGCCTTGCTAGGAGGAGACTCTATGATGGGGGAACCAGATTTCCGGTTGACTCCAGAATTGAACGGACTTCCAGTTAGGACCTTTGTGGCTCTTTGAGTATTTAAGATTGCTGATACCTGATCTGCTGTCTCTCTTTCTATTCTATTCCTATTCCTATTCCTATTCCTATTCCTATTCCTATTCCTGTTCTATTCTGTTCTGTCCTATCCTATCCTATCCTATCCTATCCTATCCTATTCTATCCTATACTATCCTATCCATCTATTTATCTACACATATGAACTACATATCTGTGTATGGTCTGAAGGTCTATCATCTATATCACATCTATATATCTATATCATTTATCTCTATCTTTATCATCTATCTATCTATCTATCTATCTATGAATCTATCTATCTATCTCTATCTATCTATCTATCTATCTATCTATCTATCTATCTATCTATCTATCTATCTATCATCTATCTATCTACAGTATCTGTCTGATTTATTAAATTTATTTG